AAGAACTTCATTTAGTCCTACATTTCAAACCCTGAGCATACTTTGAATATGCACAGTTCAACAATTTATGAAATGTGTGAACAAATGACATTGTAAATATAAGGTTTTCAAATGTAGAGTTTTCAAATAAGGTTTTTTTCATGTAAAGTTTATATATACATGATTGTATCTTTTTAGCCCAGAATAAGGAGTCCCAACTGTCCACAGGCAGAATTTTGCACTTCCTGACATTGGGCGAGAGGCAGGGTACACCCTGGACAGGGCTGACATGTAGAGACAGACAACCATTCACGCTCACATTCACACCTACGGACAATTTAGTTTTACTAACCAACTCACCAATTAACCTGCCCCCAATCTGCATGTCTTTGGACTGTGGGAGGAAGCCGGAGTACCCGGAGAAAACCCACGCTGACACAGGGAGAACATGCAAACTCTGCACAGAAGGGCTCCCTCCTGGGATCAAACCAGGATCCCTTTTGTTGTGAGGGAACAGTGCTAACCACCACACCACCGTGCCGCCCTGGTTGTAAGATCTTGTTTTTTATTAACTGCTTGACTTGTGATCAAAATATTTTCACAGTACACTTTACTTTTTATTTTTAGGGTTTTGAGTGAGTACTTGATGCCTTCAGGTAAATGGGACAAAAAAGAAGCAAAAATGGGACATTTTTCTGAAGTGAAAACAGTATGTTTGTAGGCCACCAGGTGCCATAAAATCATGACTTGTGCAGTTGTGTGTCACCTTGTCTTATAACACACATTTTTTGAATTTTTGTCACTTTAAAATATTAAAGATGATGCAGCAGGTCCATGTCAGTCCACAATTAGCCATAATTGTTACACACACAAGCACACATATTCATGTCCATTGTAGACAAATGAATAGTTACATAATATTAATGATTTAATGAATCAATGATTGGACTGATACATTAATTTAACCATTTAACAAAAAAAAAACATGACAGTGTCATTTTACCTGAACATGTCATGGGAGTGAAGTAGAGGCGCTCAATGTGTTTAAAAGTTCAAATTTTATTTAGTATTTTAGTTGGCAACATATTGTCTTTATAGAGATGGAGCAGAGATACATACACTAAAAATAACACTTGAGGTAGTCTGCGGAATTTTATGTGGTGTTCTTGGTAATCTACTAAAAAGTGTTTCAAATTACCCGCCTTCACTCTGGTCTGTGAGTAATGTCATTTTGTGTTGATACAAAAGTGTCCCAACCAGCCCTGCTCTCCCCTCTTCAGGCTCTGCCTACGTGCAGTCCAAGCTAAAGACAGCACTGTGCTAACAAACTGCTGAAAGTCTTTTTTCCCCAGTGCTTCTCATCAAATAGCTGCATGTCATCACCAAAGTGTGACAAGAGCAGTCAAGTAAAATGGCCGATGAGCAGGCCTGTCTGACAAACAGCCTCCAGGAAGATGATTCACCTGCTGCTGTCAACCATCCCTCTCATGTACAATCACCTAGGTGCCATTACGGAAAAGCAAAGTGGATATAATCAATATTTATGAACAATGAATCAAATGATTACATGATAAACCCACAGAATCCACCTGACTCCCTCTGCTCTACTAATATAGGAAATGTTTACATCATTGTCTTGGTTTCCTGGCCCACAACTTTTCTGTTTTTGTTCACACTCACAATTATTTTCAGCAGCATCAGGCAGCTGTTTTAACTAAAAAACAAAGCTTTAAAAACTCAGTGCATACTGTCTGCAAAAGACAAAGTTATCCATTAGCTGGTAAGACTTTAGCAGATAATGAGACACATATTTCTTTCAGGAGCTGCTGGAGAGTAAAAAAAAAATACTATTGGACATTCATCAGGTGGACAGAACCATGACTCCACATGGATTCTATTTTATTTGCTACATGTGTAAATGAGCAGCTGTTTGCTGACAAGTTTGCCGTAAGTTGTTGATGTCAGTGCTGCTTACAGTTTCTGCCCACTGCCCTCACGTGGCCAAAATCAGTTATTGCAGGTGAATGTTTTTTTGCTACTTCTCAATGTAATGAGACACACACAGGGACCTGTGAGCAGCACACCATAACATTCTAGGTTTTTTTGTCATTTGAAAAATCAACACAACAAAAACAATCCCTCACACTGGTCGAATTATCACCGTTGGTGTTTACATATTCTGTTTCAAGAAAGCATTTCTAAAATGGTCCCAACCGCTGTTTGCAAAATCAGTTTTGTACCCATAAAACTCTGATGCTCTTGGCTTTTATTAATGTGTCTGTGCAAAATCCTCTGCATGGCTCCATTAATCTTTTCATGGCTGTCTGAATATGGAAAAACATACTGCACACCAGTGTTTCCACATTACATCGCTACAGGGGAGAAAAAAATCTGTGGCACAGATGGACTCAAGGACAAGAACATCTGAAGGAATAAGAAAACACTTTCTCAAGGTTTCAAGCATCTTTAATTCAACTCACAGTTTTAAGTTACGTAATCGGACACAAGCGCATCTTGGTTTAGTATGAAATCATACATGTCGTATTTAAAAGTCATTAGTGCTACAGATTTCTACATCATCCATACTGATAAAAGGAATTTTAAACCAGTCTTTAGTCAACACCTTTGTGGAAGTGCAGCATTGTGGCTACAGACCACTAACAAGACACAGATCTGACCTACTTCTGCCTGTCGCTGACCTCTGACCCCTGTGCTGAAATGAGTAGAAGTCAGTATGATTCAAACACTGTCTGAAACAACTTCATAATTTTTCCTTTACCTCTATTCATTTGAGTGAAAAAAGGACAATTGCATCTTTCATTCCTTGAGAAGACTGTTGAAGGAGCAGTGTGTAGGATTGAGTGGCATCTAGTGGTGAGAACTGCAAATGGCAACCAGCTGAAACTTCTCCTGTGTGCCAAGTGTGAGCTCCCAGTTAGAATTCCTTCAGTGTTCATTGTTCAGGAGGTTTTTTACCAAGAGCTGATTTATCCGTAGTGGTCTCTTCCTCTTCACATGAAAACAGCAGCTTCACATTAAAACAAAAATCTGTTTGTCACCGCCAGGCTGCTAACTATGATGGCCAAGGCGAAAACACAAATGGCTCTATCTAGAGCCAGTGGTTGTTTGTCCATTCTGGGCTACTGTAGAAAAATGGTGGTGCAACATGGCAGATGTTGAGGCTCATTCTAAGGTAACAAAAACGCAACAACTGTCATATCCCCCTAAATCCTACATACTGCAACTTTAAGCTAGCTAGCTTATCTGAAAACACAAGTGGCTACGCAAACTGCGCACCAGCCTATTGATGCAGCTAGCTACCTGGTTGAAGCTAATGTTCATCACACAATTAAACCAGCCAGCACACATCATGTTAATCAAATACTGTTTATAGTACACTGTATACTGCTGAAGCATTACTGTTACAGTAGCTACAGCATTTCAGTTAGCAAGCTAATGCTAATAAACTTATTAAGAAGTTGGAAAAAAAAATGAGCTGATGAAATATAACAAAATATTTTTCCAACTAACTGACTGAAGGTTAAAGGAACAGTGTAAAACTTATTTATCCATGCAGTTTTTATGACTACTCTGACAACCTTTGACTACATTTGGTCACTTTCTCCATAGCTTTTAATGGGAAAGATATAAAGCCCAGTTCAGACCAATGATTCGCGACAAGACGAAACAGTTTCAGAACGTTGCAGAGAAAAGTTGCGGCGGTGTGAACTGACCGGTCTGAGCTCGACTCAAGCCGGCTGATGGTGTCATCTGCAAATCAGCTGGGAAAATCGCTGGCAGCTCGTTTTAGAGCGTAAAACTCGTCTCCTGTTTCTACAGCCAATCAGCTTGTAGTGAAGTCCACTGGTTAAGTCAAAATGACCGCAGACAGAATGTTCACTTGCTGGGGCAAGTGCTCCATCCCTGCCGAGCCTTCTGTTCCCTTCCTCATGGTGTGCTGATATCGAACGGGATGGTGGGTCATTGCTGCTGCCTGCTGTATGTGCCTATGCCCCCCTTCACACAAACACACTCTCACTGACTAATTAATTATCGTTGCTTACTTATATTATTGTGGCGTATCTATTATGAATACAGTCCATCTGATGCTGGTCTTGTCTCTGTTTTTAGCCGTTTCATCACTACTACAAATGCAGCTGTAGCCAGCATCTCACTATCACTATCCTCATNTCTCTCTCTCTCTCTCTCTCTCTGTCTCATTGTGTCATATGGATTACTGTTAATTTATTATGCTGATCTGTTCTGTACGACATCTATTGCACGTCTGTCCGTCCTGGAAGAGGGATCCCTCCTCAGTTGCTCTTCCTGAGGTTTCTACCGTTTTTTTTTTCCCCGTTAAAGGGGTTTTTTTTGGGGAGTTTTTCCTTATCCGCTGTGAGGGTCTTAAGGACAGAGGGATGTCGTATGCTGTAAAGCCCTGTGAGGCAAATTGTGATTTGTGATATTGGGCTTTATAAATAAAATTGAATTGAATTGAATTGAATTGAACTGGGCTTTAAGATTTTGTCATCATAAGAATATTTGTCCAGAGAAATTGTTTCCACACCTTGGGCAGGCAGGCAGTGCCTCAGTATGGGATACTGTATGATCTAATATGATGATGATCAAAGTCATTCAAACTTTCCACATGAACACATCTCACCAGATTCCATCATCACATACACAAACCATTAGCACATTGTTTGCTGTGGCTTTACTAAGCTCACATCCACTCCACTTGACTGTAGCAGTGATGTTACTATAATGCAAATATCGAAGAAAAGTGCAGCCAGTCAGTCTTTCAAAACTGAGGCTGAACCCTGAAGGGCTCCAACGTGACAACACTCAGATGTTACGTGACCTGAATCTAGTCTTTGTGTCTGTAATGCCAATATGTGATTTACAAAGATGCCGTACCAGTAAACTTCACATGACAGAGTTGTTGTGCACTTGTCCATGTAAAGTGAATTCTCCCACAGGTTGTGACTCTGATTGAAGCGTGATTTACCTCAAATTATGTCTTCAATAGGAAAATAATAATCTGATCATAAAGATCACAACAGCAAAGAATCTTAAAACAATAACATGACTGTCAGGATTACAGCTGTGCGCATTAACTGCATTAACTCATTTTCTGCAACTGCATATCAGTAGACTCATTAGGCTCCAAGCTGCTGACACACTCTCTCCTCTGTTAGGACTTCACATTGTCACTGTGTGTGTGCATTTATCAGTGTGTTACAGTTTGCTGGTCAGCTGAGGGTGTGTGTGGGTACTGGCTGTTCCTGGAAACCCTCCATCGAAGGCAGCATTCAGCACCTCGTTCAGGTTTGTGGCGGTGACGAAGTCAAGGTCGGCTCGTACATTGGCTGGAAGCTCCTCCAGGTCCTTCTCATTGCGTTTAGGGATGACGACGCGCTTCACTCCTGCCCTGTGGGCCGCCAGGACCTTGTCTTTGATCCCGCCCACCTGAGGAAAACACACCAATCCAGTGTGCTGAAACTGCAAACCGATTTACATTTTATCATGTGTTGAAGTGTGATAACTCACCGGCAGCACCAGCCCTCTTAGCGTGATCTCTCCTGTCATGGCAACGTCTGATCTGACTAATCTGCCGCTAAACAGCGATGCTAGGCAGGTTACTATGGTAACACCTGCAGAGGGACCATCCTTGGTGACAGCTCCAGCAGGGAAGTGGAGGTGGATGTCTGTCCCTTCTAGCGGGTCTGGACCCCCCGCCACTGTTCAGACACATAGATATCAGCTTTATGATGAGTGATGATGAGGGCGGAGTCAGCAGGGGGGGAAACAGTCCTTGCTCCCAGTAAGTTAATGCAGTTAAAGTGCAGCTTTTAAACTCACATAAGAGAGACTATTACATTTACCATGAGATGAATTAAACTTAGCATGAGATCAGTCCCCTACAGCCATTGATGCTATAAAGTAATAGACTAGTATGTGAGTGTGTGAGTGAATTGCATGATGATGTGCTAAAGTTATCATGCAGGGATTTGCAATCTCAAGAGCTACAGGTCTTTGGTAGCTCAAAGCTTTTTTTTTTAATTTTACAAGTGGCTTAACAATTGTACACTGTTTTGGTAGTTTTAGATCCTTTAAAAAAAAAAAAACAGCCCTAAAATTGTGACTGCAAAATCCACCAGACCCTATTGAAACAAACAGTAATTTCAGCATGTACAGAGGGAGCATATATTCACATCTAACTGGGTGAATTAAGGGTTGGGTTAGACAGTGGAAAAATGAACCAAAATGGTTTCTGTCAGTTTTATTTTGTTGCTGTGGACTTTGAATGAAGTCTGTTTTAAGATGACAAGATGACTGTTTATCTAAATGGAGTCTGGTGGGTTTGGAGATAGCCATGTTGGGGCTGTTTCTGGTTGGACAAAAAGGATGTTACTCTAACAAAAGGTCTATATCTGCAGGGATCCTGTCAATAATCTTGTCAGTCCTACGATGTGCTACAGATTATTCGTATTTCACTACAGGCATGTACAGTATATACATGTATATATCTTGTGAACTCACTGTTGGTGAGCTGGTAGGTTTTGGCATTCGCTCTGAGCCAGCTGATAGCCAGATGGGCGGATTCTTTCATAACATCTCCCAGCTGACCAGTCAGAGTGAGCTGACCTTCTCCCTCCATTCGACTGGCCTCCACGAACAGGATCTCTCCTCCAAGGGGGGTCCAGGCCAGGCCCACAGCCACACCAGGCAGGGTGAGCCTCTCAGAGACCTTCCAACACACACACACACACACACACACACACACACACACACACACACACACAAAACATCTGTGAAGTTGTAGTTGGTGGAATGATCAGATAAAACATAAAGACTTCAAGGAGGGTTTGTAGTCTTCATAAATTCAGGGATGAATGTGAAACACAAGGCCAACATGACCTCATAGCGAAGGAGGGAGGGAGAGAGGAGAGATGTAAAAGTATGAAGGAGGGTGAGAGAACTGTAGAGGGAGAGGAACAAAGAAAATAAGGATGAAAAGACAAAATATGATGAGAAAACACCCACTAGAAGAGAAACTGTATTGTGTTTAACATTATACTGTATGATTTCACCTCAAGCAGCTGCTGTCATTATTCTGACTTTATGTACAGCAGCTGTTATGGAGCTATGAGACATCTTCACAGACTGCCACTATATTGATGAGAGCGGTTTAGAAGCTCAGACAACCACAGGAACAAGAAACAATTGGAGGTCAACTCTACACAGGTTGCTCTAATTGTGGGTTGTGGATCTCTGATGTTCCTGCTTACCTCCATTTCAAACAGAGGAGGTCCCAGGATGTCTTTCAGGGCGACGTGGTCGATCACTATGGGCATCTCAGGAGGCGCTGCTGCTTTGTCTGAGCACACATGAAATGAACTGAATCCTACTGAGAAGTACTGACGTTGGTCACACAGCTCAGTAACACGGCTCAGAAACAGATAAAAGGAAAAACGTTTCTGATTTAATTCTAAGTGTCTGGAATCAGGTAACTGCAGAGCATGACGAATTATCACATTACTAAAATGCACTTGTGCACTGCATGTTGGAACCATCTACTAACGCAACTGAGGAGGGGAGGCCTCAGTAAGAGGGAGAGACAGAACGAAGGGGAGATGACAATAGTTGCATTTCAGACTGGAAAGTCACACATGCACACATGCTGACATTATGCAAAGGTGCACAAAAAACAAACACATAAAGACACATCAAACAGTAAAGACTACAAACAGTGAACAGGAACATCAAACACAAACCATCCTGTTTGTGCTGCGTGTCCGTGACATCTGTTACCTGGCAACGCAGAGGGCTTTCTACAAAGCAGCACAAAGCGACTTGCTGACATCCTCTGTTAACCCTCAGCTACCCAATCTCTGGTTACTTTTGTTGGTTCCCTTTCAATCTGACTTGCACTACTTTGTGTTAATGAGCTATAACTCCATGGTGGCCATGGGACACCCACACAGGTGTTTTCACTTATTGGTCCTGATTAGAGCTCTCCTCAACACTGATGCTACTGTCAAAAAAGTGTTCTTTCCTCAACACTGTGAGGACAAGGAAAGATCTGTAGGAGAATTTATAAAAATTAAGGAAAAGACAGCTGCAGCGCCACAAGATTATGACTGCACTTACACTTGGCTACGTAATTATGCAATGGTGGATGATATTAACTTGGGTCTGCCATGGTGAAACTATAATATCCTGAAGATGGACTACTGAAGCTTCTTCATTGTACTGGTTTCACTGGCTTCCCTGTATCATCATCATTCTTAAGTTTAAAAACATGTTAAATTAAAACCATAATTTGGCTAAAACGTTGACGTGATCTTGCAAATTCAGATGTTTATGGTCTCTCCAACAATACAAGTAAAATCGTGTGGAATATTTTTGCTGCGAGGCTCCATTAATGGAAAAATAAAATAAATATTAATAGACATAAATATACATTCAAGGCAAAGATATGACAAGCCTATGTATATAATAGCTTAAGAACCAGCAAACAGCTGAGTTACCACCGTTCCTTGAGTGTGCTTTGAAGTTGTTACAGCTCATACAGGCTGTGGATGTCTTGTTTCCCCAAAGAATGGCCAAACTCAAAATGTTGCTGCCGCGAGAAACTGTGGGATGGAATTATCTCTTTTCCTTTTGTAAAGGATGGTCTGGTGTATCCTGTGGTAGTTATTAGTGTTTGAGTTATCAACCGCAGCCTTAGTAGTGTGTATAGACTGACATCACACTGAATATGTTTACAATCTCACTAATATTCCATGATTTTTCAGAATATGACAATATTCTGAATTAGATACGGGTCATATAAACAGAATATTTCATTTGGATATTCCAAATTAGGCCTTATTCCAAATGCAGCATTTTCCAATTAAGACATGTGACATTGCCAATATTATGTGGGTTTTAGGAGTATTATTTGGACATGTATACAGCGCATTCAGAACATCATCTAAATTGGGGTTTTTACCGCAGTTTTTGACACACGGCCCCTTGCCTCTGAACTATCAGCTCTGTGTGTTGCACATAAACTTAGTCGCCAACACTTTGCAAGGCTGTGAAGTGCAGTCGAGGCCCAAAAGAAAAGCCCAGATTTCTGGTTAGAAGGAGAAACAAACCTTTTAACATTATAAAAGACTTGGATATTAACAAGTTTTTGGATGTGCACAAATATCGCAGCACAGACCTTTTCAAGAAGTTGGTTGAGGGAATGAAAGAGAGGCTGTGTCTGCCACTGGTGGAAAAATGACAAAAGTGGCTCTGGCCATTCAACTTTTCCATATTCTGACGTGATGAACTACGTGTTGGGTCACGTTTATCAGAGTATGCACGCCTGCATGTAAATGGAAATATTACTGAAATAATACTTTTCATTAGCCATGTAAACAGCTTATTCAAAAATCTTATATTAATGTGTTTATTTTATTCTGTATGGCTTGAAAGCTTTATATCAGTGCAGCTCATCCTGCGATCATCTGAGCAGATGGCAGCACATTTGCAGCATTTATCTAATAAAAACTGACATTTCAAAGTACTATATTAAGAGCATTTAATTCACATCAGATCATTTTAATTTTTGTAAATATGAACATGTTAGTAGATGTGTTATTGTGAGTGAGAGGATGTGACCCTCTACCTCCCACTAATCTAATCTGCCCCCAGAGATGCAGACAGAGAGCTCAGGATCTTACCCCCCTGCTGTGTTGGGCCCTCAGGGGTTGAAGCCTCTGTCTTGTTGGCTCTGTGACCTTCAGCGACCTTCACTGCCACAGCTCGGCAGATCGCCCCGAGCTTCCTCTCTAGGGAGCGCACACCTGCCTCACGGGTGTATCTGAAACAACAAACACACATACACAAACAGCAGATGAAGACAATTATGCAGGGAACACAAAACCAGGCAAACCAGTTCATTTGAGCAGTTATTGGCAGTCAGGAACGATACTGATGATTTGTATTAGTACCATATATTAAAGAATAAATTAACAAAGACTTGAGGAAAAACCAACCATATGAAATGAGCTGGATTTTTATGCCTAAATGTCTGAAGTCCTGACAAAAATGATAACTCATACTGTACATGAGGACATCTTTGTTAACCTGCCTGGTTTCTACTAGATCCTCTCCACTCTGACTTCACCCCAAACCACCCTCATCTCATCCCTTTAAAAAAAGACATTTAGCCAGTAAAATCAGGAGTATCTCTCTAAGGATGAGCACCAAGCTGTGTCCTGTTGGCTGTTACTATAGTAACCAGACTGGAGTGTGGTGAGTGTTGCACAGACGCTCTGCAGGTCGGCAGGCAGCATACTGCTCACCATCTGAAGAGTCCAGAAGCCTGTGTAACAGCAGCTACATGTTGGCTGATTTCTTTATAAACATGCCAGACGGTTTGATCAGGCTGTCATGTAGGTTATACTTACAAATATTAGCACTAGTGCTGAAACAATAAGCCGATTAACAGACAAGCTGATTGACAGATAATTGGACGATTCTCGAGTGTCTGGATTTGCTGCTTTTCTTCACTATAACGTGAATGCATTTGGATTTTGATGGGACAAAACAAGCAGTTTAAAGGTGTCACATTGGGCTAAAAAAATTGTCATCAGCATTTTTTTTTTTTACTATTTTCTGACTAAAGGATTGAGCAGATCAACACACCAACACTCAGTCAGATGTTCACAGACACACAGGAGGCTGCCCTCAGTCATCTGTTTGGTCAACCTGCCTGTTTGGTCAACCTGCCTGAGAAATAATGGCCAACATTAAAAACAAACAGCCACTAAACTGCTCGACAACTTAATGACATCCTGTGATGACAAGAAGTGGAATTCTGAGTTAGCCTCAGATGGAAGCTGGCAGCTGGCTGAGCCCTCTGCTCCACACATCACTCTGTCCTTGGCAGGCTAAATGTAGAAGCTCTTCGGTGAACATGCACTGATGTCCATATTAATCTGAAGGATTTAATTCTTCCCTTTTGTTGTATCAGTGCAATATATGAGCTCCGTATGATGCAGTGTTTACTGCAGCAGGACAAAACTGTCTAAAAATCTGTTGTACCTATACATGGTGACATAATGAATATAATATATTCATTTGTAGTAAAATATATTATATTTTACTACAAATTTCTATTTAAAAAAAGCAGATTGCCATTGAAGAGTGTCATTGCTATTGGGAGCATACTTGGTCTGCAACGGTGTTTCCTGGATTTAGCGCATCTAGTACCATCCACATAATAGCCAGGACCAACTGCAACATGTCAACAGTGTTTCAATTTTGAAGGGTTTCCTGTTGGAAGTCCTTACATTAACGAACTGTGGTGATGTTGATAATAATGATGTTGAATAATACTTGCATGCAAAATCATAATTTGCACTGGCTGCAAACTGCTCAAAACTGGGACACTCCATTCCAAGTGTTTTCACATTTTCATAATTACAGTACTTGAGTAAATAAGTTTATACTGTATTTTCTTGGGCAAAATGTCCTCAGATGTCATCACAGCTCATTTATAATTACAAGCGTCCTCACACCAAGGTTCCTTTAGCTACCTAAACCTAATCTAAAAGCTAAGACGGTGTAAAAAAACAACAAAAAAAACAAAAACACTTAAGTTAACTTAAACAAAAATTTGAACTAGACTTGAGTTAAAAAAAAAAAAGTAAACTAACTAAAACTAGAATTGCTGCCTTGCAGTTATATGCCTCTTCACACCAGTCAAGTTGCAGATACAGTTTGCATTCATGTCTGTGAAAACATGAAGCTTCACACACCTTTCCCCTCATGAGCACCGAAGATCTACACAATCAGCACAGATTCAAGGCGGGCACCCAAGATTAGTTTCACCAATTCAGTATCTGACCAAATGTCTCCCTTCTGTTCCAGAAAAGTGTTTTGCAGAATGTTGTGATGTCACAGTGAAGTTGACCTTTGACCTTTTAGATATGTAATGTCATCACATCATCATTTTATCCATTTGTGTGAAATTTTGTCATGATTAGCATACGGATTCTTAAGTTAATTGGTTCATCGTTGAGTCCAGGTGGGCGTTTGTGCTGAATTTAAAAAAATTTCCTCGAGGCATTCTTGAGATATCACATTCACAAGAATGGGGCAGACAAGTTCATATTGACATTGACCTTTGACCTCCAAAATCTAATCAGTTCACTGTTGAGTCCAAGAGCATGTTTCAGCCAAATTTGGAAAAAAAAAATAAAAAATTCTCGATGCATTCTTGACATATCATATCATATCATCGGATAACCAGAAAACATAATGCCTCCTGCCAAGCCTAGCGATGGTGTGGAGGCATAAATGAAATAAACACATATGGCAAATGTCTTTAATTTTGGTTATTGTTAATTTTCTCAAATCTTTCAATACAACCAGCACAAGGAGGCACTGGTGCACATGTTAAATGAGACTATGATGTCTACAAGACTGCAACTGCATTCACAAATGTTGTGTTGGTGGTGTAATGCCTTCTCTGACTTTCTTACATTTTATTGCACTGACAAATACTGACAAATACTGTATTGAGAATTACACAACATATAATAAAATAATAACTAAACTTAAAACTAATACAAACTAAACTAAAACGAAACATTTCTCAACATTAAAAACTAAACTGAAATGTGCAAACCCACTCTGGACACAACTGAAAGTCAATTGAATTTGCAAAAAAAAAAAAAAAAGAAACAAAATAAAAACAGAAAACATATATATTGAAAAATACAAAACTATAATATTTCTGGTTCACACCTTTACCTGAGAAAAATAATCTGTGGTCAGAATAACACAACTGAGAACAAGTCACTAGTGTGAAGGTGTTTTTTCATTATTTTTTGTGAACACTATTTCAACTCAACAGCTGAAGAGGACGTGACACTGTCTGCAATGGGAGACACATTTCACAGTCAATAGAAACAATGATAAGGAAGAAAAACTTTATAGTAATAACGTACTTCAAAACATATCAAGTTAGCCACTTTTCTTCATTTATTCACCCAGAAAATAATATTGGTAAAAAGAAGAGCTGCACATAAATTGTGACTGTGCACCTCTATAGCAGAGTTGAGCTTAAAGGACAGCTTCGGTATTTTTCAACCTGGGCCCTATTTCCCCATGTGACATGTGTGCGTATGATTCACAGGTACAACTCGTTCTAAAATTGGTTCAGTATTGAGGGAGGCGGATGCAGCCGGCAGCCGCGAAACGAGCTGAAACGGTAACGGGGGCAAATGCGTCCCGTATAAGTTTGCGCATTAAAAGTGCTTTTTTTCGCCACTGACCGGTTCAGATCGCCAGTGCTATCTCTGTAAATAGCATACCAAGCGTTTCCCTGACCCTTCACCTCCTCCCGGCTGTGACGTCATCTTGCAAGAGCTTTGCTTGTTGCCGGAAGAAAACAGAGGAGCCATGCTGAGCGCCGCTCAGAGTGGCGCTGGTTGTCCCGGAGTACAGTTGAGAGTTTTACTGTATCGGTATCATGGCTGCATATTTATTTCGAGAATGAAGATGAGCCCTTTTATTACGATGGCCGCCCGTACTTATTTGAGCCCGAGTATACGGACGAAGAGCTCCTACAAACTGAAGAGCAGACGAGGATAGAGAGAGAGGGCCAACGAGCAGACGAGGGTGAAGCAGTGGCTGCACGAACGCGAATCTCTGAGGACTGGTGGTGCTCCTGTGGTTGCTGTGACTCCATGCCCACAGAGGAAGAATGTCTGTGTTGCAACAAGTGGGACCTGCTGCCCAGTATTCATGGTCTCGATGTGTCCTGGGATGATACAGAAACTACCAAACGCTGTGTAACTACGTTAGAGGATTTCCCCCCTCTGATCAACAGGGCAGTGCTGGATACCTTTTTTCATGTGCCCAAAATAAATTGGAGGAGGTGGCCAAAACCACAGGGGCCAAATGGTCAACTATCCATCAAGAATGTATAACTAATATGTCTTTATGCATGTAATACTGATACCTAGAACTGTCTCCGAGACGCACATTTACTGTTGCATACTTTGCCCTTGTATATATCGTACCCTGTTTTCTTCCGGCAACAAGCAAAGCTCTCGCGAGATGACGTCACGGCCGGAAAGAGGTTAAGGGTCAGGGAAACGCTTAGTATGCTATTTACAGAGATAGCACTGGCGATCTAAATCGGTCAGTAGCAAAAAAAAAGCACTATTAATGCGCAAACTTATACAGGACGCATTTGCCCCCATATCTACCTCGCGGCTGCCGGCTGCCAGCTCCCTCAATACTGAACCAGTTTTAGAACGAGTTGTACCTATGAATCATACGCACACATACACATGGGGAAATAGGGCCCAGGTTGAAAAATACCGAAGTTGTCCTTTAAGTGAAGTCAATTTACTTTGCTCATTGTGTATCTTTTTTTTAAATGTTGGTGTCTGTGTGTACCTGCTGATTATATTCTGTGTGGTGTCCTGTGGTATATGCAGCTGTTGAGGAGTTAATCCATGCTGCTCCAGCTGGTTTGGGATCAGGTGACGGTGAGCTATCTCCACTTTCTCCTCCTGAGTGTAGCCTAAAAAAAACACACACACACACACACACACACACACCTCTATTTACATTAAGAGTACTAATATTGCTTGAGTTGTTTTAAACTATTACTTTGTTTCCTCAATTTACAAACTTCTGCCCTAAAATTACTGAATTCCCTCAAACTAATAGTGTAATTTTATTAAATTTAAAATGACTTTACCAGCACATCATTTCTGTAGTTACTTAATACAAAATCACATTACTCAATTTCCTTCCCTGCCACCATAAACATCTCTTGACTTACTCCTATAAACCAAACCAGAGGTGAAGGGAACAATATCCAGGTTGTATACAGCTATATTTGTTATGGAAGACTTGCCACTCTAAATGATAAAGAAAAACTGGGAAAATGATTTTGGGACTGATGTATCAGATGATCAGAGGTTGAAAATACCAAAAAAGTATTCACTCTTTTTGTGTGAGAAGTGGCCCTTGTCAACTGAAGACTATGCTGGCTTCATAAGTCCTAGGTCAAGCCTTCAAGACTTTTTCCTGGGATTAGTCTGACCTGTGACAGATGCAAGCAAGCATCTGTCAGTCTTTATCACACATTAAGGTCATGTCTCAACCTAACATACTTCTGGTCTTCTGTGGTTGGCATTTATTCAGAGATCGCAGGTCAAACACTTAAACTCCTTTCTTGGACTTTGCAGTGGACTATCAGAGGATCTTGCTCTGATAAAAGCACAGTTCACACAGCATGGCCTTCTCAGCCCTTCTGGCAAGTTCTGACATGAAATTTAGACCAGACATTGTTTTAAAGTCAATAAAACTACATAAAAAGGTTGTGTAATAAATTGGAATGACGCAAAAAAAAAAAAAAAAGGATTGACCATGCTGACTGAAATGTAGTTATCACTTGGTGGAGACGTTTTTCGTTGTAATGCCAGCTTCAAGAAAGTTTCTGTACGAAGAAAATAATGTCAGACAGTGTTAAGATGGGATTTTGGCCCACTCTTCCACACAGGCAGTCTTTAAATCTTGAGGATATCCGGGTCCTGTTGGTGACTGATTTTCAGCTCCTTTCACAGATGCTCTGCTGATTGACTGGGACATTCCAACAACTTTGTCTTCTTTCTCTGGAACCAACAGACAGTCTCTGCTGAAGTATGTTCTGGATCACTGTCCTGCTGGAAAGTCCACCTGCTTCCCATTCTCACTGTCCTGGTGGATGGCAACAGATTCTTTCAAGATTTTCCTGCTGGATGGCTTAATTCATCCTCTCTTTGATAATTTGGAATCTACTGGTACCATGAAAACAGAAACAGACTACCTCCAAACTTCATGTCGTATTTCTAGGGTAAAAAAGGGTAAATTTTTGCCTCCTTGGAACATACTGCGTTCTCCCAGTAATCTACAAGCAAGCAATGCCTCTCCACCAAGTGTTAAATACATGTCAGTCTGCGTGTTCACAGCGTTTTCCCTGTGTCATTCTATTATTCTATTATTGCACTTTTTTATGGACTGGAATGTTCTGATTTCCTTGACTGTGCAGTTTTATTGGTGATGAAAATGGAATTCCATTGTCCTGGTACTTGCAATAAACTTTATTAGAAAAACAACATTTCTGTTTAGACCTTTATCAGGTTAAGTCCTGATAAAGAAAATAAAAAATTCATTCCAATGTCTGGTCTGAATTTAATGAGAACAGCTGCACTGGAATTATGTTTAATGAAAAAACTGCTGATGTCTTAACTGCCCATTTCCCCCACTGTAATGTGGCTTTTCATTTTTTATGTGCAAAGTTTAACTATGCTTCTTACCTCATGAAAATGGGTATTTCTTAGACGAAGAATTTAAATATTTCGGCATACAAGCAAGGCACCTAGTCAAGTGTGTGCATTTGAACTCTGCTTATGCCTCATTCAGCTGAGCGGAGTTCAAATGCACAAGCAACATTTTAGCAAAAATGCCCACTTACCCAGTCGTATGCCAGAAGTACTGGCATACGACTGGGTAAGTAAGACTTGGATTATACTGCACGAGTTGCTAACCCCTACGACTTCAACTGCAAAAGAAATCATTATTATTATCATTATTATTATTATTATTAGTATTGTTGTTAATATATTTAGATTTTTTTTTCATACTTTAATTGCATTGTTGGAGGGAACCTGTGAGTTTTTCTTTTATTGCTATTACTGCTCTTGTAATTGTTGTTCATTTGACAATAAATAACCTTGATACCTTACATCCAATAGTAATAATACATCTAATCATTGGTAACCTATGAATGACTTCAGCAGTATTATCATGAGTGCTGGCGGCATTGGCTGTGGTGGTCTTGTGTGTGGGCACGTTTGTATGTATCCAATTGTGATTGGATACGCAGCAGGACATGGAGTTGTTTCATCTGTTTCCTGTGTAACACTGCAGCTAATTCAGTCATAAAGATGCAATCTGCTTGGGATTATCTATGTTATGAGAAGAAGATGAAGATCACATTCAAACTGTGGAGATGATCGCTGAGAGTGAGTCTCTGTACTCAAACCCACCTGGTACCTGCAGCACCTCCATCCTGTCTAACAGGGCAGGGGGAATGGTCGCCGTGGTGTTTGCAGTGGCAATAAAGAGCACTTGGGAGAGGTCAAAGGCCACGTTGAGGTAATGGTCTGTGAAGCTGTGGTTCTGCTCCGGGTCCAGAACCTGAGGGAACATGTAGAGACCATTTCGGTGTGTGTGTTTTTAATGTTTCATCAAACTTAAATTAATTTCATTCAATTAACTGGAAAGCTTTATTGGTTTACAGGACAAATAGAGGACAACAAACAAAAAGAATTGGTGAGGAAGCAAAACAAATGCTTATTAGCAATTTTAGCAGAGGTTAAGTGGCTGGTTAAACGTGCCATAGGTAATTTTCTGCTGCTAGGGATCTCTCAATCAAAACAATAACAACATGGAGCAATGCCATCATTGCAGTCATTTTCTCAGTTAGGATTCCTTCAGTGTTCACTGTTCTGGGGATTTTTACTGGGAGCCAAATTATCTGCACAGGTTTCTTGCTGTCTAAAACAAACAGGCCCAGTAATTTGAAAAACACTGAATGAAGCAGTTTCACCTTTAAAGTCAGCGTTTTTTTTTCTGACATTGTTTGGCTCAACACAGACAGGCTGCTAGCCTGCAAATGTTATCTTTTTTTATTTAGCAGGTGCTGAAACATCCTCAGAGATGTCTTCCCCTCCAAAACAAACAGAATAGGTGATCTTAACCGGTAAAACGCTGAATAAAGCATGTTCATGTTAAAAATCAGTGTTGCAGAGGCTTGAGCCGAGCTACTGCTAACACTTGCTTTGCTTGTTTCGGGTGACTAAAGTCCTTCATCCGGTTAAAAATCACGGTTTAAAACAAGCACGATCTAAAAAAATGTGTGGAAAAAAAGTGTCTTTAAACTGGATAAAAACATCATTTTATAACAGCTTCTGGCAGACACCCACAACCCTGTCGCATGCACAAAGGGGATAGGACATCACTGACAGGCGACAGCAACCAAATCACACTGTTATTTGTCCTTGATTAAAATGACAAATTCCCTTGGATTTGAACATTGTGGGAAACATTTGGAATGATATCAGTACACACCTCAACAAAATATACAACACTGGTCAAGCTGTTTTTAGGCATTTTGATGCATAAAAATGACATACTATATCTTTAAGTTGAGAGCTAGTAAAGGTTAAGAGGTACTAACAGGTTAAGGAACTAAAAAGCAATGAAGACATCTGACACTACTACACAGGTCATCTGAGAGAGAGAGAAACAAAGCTGACCTCCAGCAGTGCAGCTGCAGGGTCTCCTTGCAGGCTCTTCCCCAGCTTATCTACCTCGTCCAGGAGGAACACTGGATTATTGACGGCCACCGTCTTCAAACCATTGATGATGCGGCCCGGCATGCTCCCGACATATGTGCGCCTGGAGAAATGAGCAGGATTTGGAATGCTGACCGATTATGTAAATAAAGACAACAGAAAAGTGCAGAACTACGTGATGTTGAGGTGAACCTGATATCTACATTTGTTTATGTTGTGTCATGTTAGTATTGCACGGTCATGCTTTTATCGACTTGTTCTAGAAGTATACGTAAGTTTTAAGTGTTTCAGGCTAAAAGGATGAAAAGTGCAGTTTCTGGGGTTCAATAAAAGGATATAAAAGAAACTGGGTTTTTTTGTTATTGAACAGATTGAATAATCAACCATGAAAGAACTTCAGATCTTTATCCTGTGCAATCCTGCTGTTGATATGCCAGACACATGTTTCTCATCTGGCTGAGAGAAGGCGTATTAACTGTGTCCTGTCCTTTAAAATGCCAGGATCAACCCCAAAACCTGAGATGAACTGTGCGGCCCCACTCACCTCACTGCACACACACACACACACACACACACACACGCAGAAGCAGTGGCTCCATAATGTCGCTTGCTAATCCAAACTATGACTACTAGTGCACACACACAACAGAGCGGCTGTGTTGTGTGTGGGCTGAGGCTGTTAACAGACTGATCAAAGGCAAACTTTGGGACGTAACTACCGAACAAATGATTTTTTTTTCAGCTTACAAAACCTACACTCTAAGTGTGAACCAATCAATATACAAAGTTCATTATGATTTTGTTGTGTGTCCTGCTGTAAACTTAACTTGATGTACAATGTGAGACAAACAACACAGTAATCTTACATTTCCACAACTGATGTTCTAATGTATAAAGTCCATATTCATGATTGGCAGATTAAAGCTCATTCACTTTCATTGATTTAACTGTTTCTGACATAACTGACATAAAGGCCCTGAAAAATTTCCACATCACTAAAAAGGGCGTGTGTCATCACAGAGGTATTGTTAAAGAAATACTCCACACCCCTCTCCACAACAGTGAATGTGTCCACCGGTAGAGATTTGGCAATAACCGTTCTACAGCTGGATCTATTCTTGACAAGCTATGTAGCAAATCAGGGCTGGAAACTTGTGTGATCTCAAGATACTTAAGTGATCTCACAAATGCAGCTGCCTCCAGGGGTGACATGATTTGGGCAGACATGGAGGAGGAGAGTTGAGGTGTAAATACAGAAGCCTGTAACAACTGAAATTATTGTTCTCAGGAACCTTAAAGCTTCCTTCCATCATGATATTGTCATAATTTCCCCCGTTAAAGGGTTTTTTTGGGGAATTTTTCCTTATCCGCTGTGAAGGTCCTAAGGACAGAGGGATGTTATATGCTGTAAAGCCCTGTGAGGTAAACTGTGATTTGTGATATTGGGTTTTATAAATAAAATTGATTGATTGATTGATTAATTTTCAGAGTCATTATTACCATAAAAATAACACAAATATTTCAATAAATCCTTGCTGGTCAATAAACTGCAGCGCCAGTCGGGAAGATTTAGAGGGCAACAGCGAGGCCGTGCACCCAGCAGCTTCAGCGTCAAATTTTATTGTCTGTTTGACTTGAAAAGTGTCCTCACTATGAAAGATATTCAAAGTCGCCTTCTCTGTGCTGCAGGAGAGGGGCCCACTGAGGAAAGGGTCACAGATTTGTTTTACAGTGCTCAATTACTCACTGCTTAAGAACACAGACCACCTGCTGTAAAGGAAGTTTTTAAAAAGACGGATCACCTCTAATTCAAGTCCATAATACTGTATCTTTGAGCAATCTCAGGACATATGTACAGTCATGTGCTTATATGTGCTTGCCTCACCTCTACCTGTGTGGTTCCACACTGGGAACGCCCTCCTCTGCTCCGTAACTCACCATCTACACTGTGGTCATAAGACATCTGCTGTTCTAGACTCACCAGTGGAGCTGCGATCTTATAAGCATACCTGTGTCCTCGGATGTCAGACTGGTCACAGACGCCTCCCAAAGCGATGCGGTGAAACTCTCTGCCAAGAGTCCTGGCAATGGAGCGTCCCACACTGGTCTTACCGACTCCTGGGGGCCCCACGAAGCAGAGGATGGGGCCCTAAAGACAAAGCAGCAGCATGACATTAACAGATAAATATGCAACACATTTAAGAAAGCCCAAACTTTTTGGCAACATCCACACTAGTATGTTTACTCTTAGAGTCAAAAATGCTCAGGGGTTTTGGAACCCCTAAAACGGAGACCTTTGAAAATGCTGCTGACCCATTTCAGCATGAAATCGTCTGGACGGAGAGAACAGAGACTTTTGCCAATGGTAGCACAGACACCCACTTTGGTTCCTGACTGGGTCCGATCAGTCACAGCTTTTCAAGTTAAACCATGAGAGCGAGTCCGGCATACCTTTTGTGATTTCATCTTTCTTCTCTCCCATTGCCATGGCTTCCTCTGGCGATGGATAGTGCTCCTGGCCAATATTGCTCTAGTAGGTTGCCGTATTTGCTTTGCAACGATTCCCGATCTGTTTTCCACCACCTTGACTGTCTTATACTCATGATACTTTCAGAAACAATTCCACCTAGTCGTCTGTCTAAGCAAGGAAGTATCTGGTCTTACTTTTCATCATCTCCGTAGTATTTTCTGTAATTAAGTGACCACCGCAAAGTAGACAATCTGCTTCCTGTTTACCTGTCGATCATTTTTGTTTTAAAAAGCCATTTTAATGAAAACATATTAGTGTGGATGTGGCCTTTGTCTTTATATGTTTAATGGACTGAGTAATCTGTAAGAAGCACCTTTAGGGAAGTCTTCAGCTGTCTAACAGCCAAGTACTCCAGCACGCGTCTCTTCAGCTTGTCCATGGCATAGTGATCGTTGTCCAATAAAGTGCGAGCAGCTTGGATGTCCAGGCAATCTGAAGAGAGTGTGTGTGTGTGTTGGGTGGGGAGGATGTGGATTTGATGGGTCCAAGAAATAAATATAAAATATTAAAATTAGTGAAGGTAAAGATGGTGAGATGGGAGCTGCAGAAACAGAGGGACTGTGATCTGAGAACATGAGGAGGAAGAGTTCAGTAGTATTCAGTTTTATTACATTGTTCCATGAAATATTAATTAAGATTTATTTGCAGGTTATGACCTCTGCAGACAAATGTATCCTGTCCTGAAATTGGGAAGTCTTCATTGATCTGAGGTTAGTTGTTACAAGGGCAGTCTGAGGTCAGCAGCAGAGACCGCAGTGAGCCTGATATTCTGACTTTGCGGTTGACCACAGCAAATATCTCTTTAAATGTTACACTGTCTTCTCTGCTGGAGGAACATAATGGCCTTGGAATTTTGATGGAATTGACTCTGGGTTCATGTTTGGACGTGAGTGTTACAGGATGTGAGACTTCTTTATTTGAAGCAGCACTGACTGATTTGACAGTGGAGGGGGAGCATAACAAGCTGTAAACACAACACTCACCTTTTAGAGTAAGGACTGATGTGATAGCAAACAGTGGCCTGTGTACACACCCAGCAGATACAGAGCAACATGAGTTTCACTTGGATTTGAGTTTTTGACACACACAAATCTAATATTCACTCTCCTGTCAGCTCGAGTTTGCTGTCCACCAACTGCTCTGTAAAATATCTGTCTCTTTAGCTGCTAAATGCTACACTGTGTTCACCAGCTAGTTGCTAACTGTGTCTGTCTGCTATTTGGTGCTGAGCAGGGAGGTTAATCAGAGCATTAAAAATGAGCCCTGGGACTAATAACTTTGAAATATTCAATACAGTTATCCCCACATTTTTACAGCCACCACATGTCAAATATTGATTAGCATTAAAAACACAAGGCACTGACAATGCCATCATACCACCATGCTGTTACACATATTTTTACACTTGGAACTGTTCGGCCACATTGCAAAGACATAGCTGTATGTTAGAGATCTCATACAGTATCTAAGGCATCGGACATTTTTGGCTTGTGGACCAGTACTCTGCTAAAGCCCGCTTTCAGCTTTGTTTACCTTTGGTGCTTTTGCTCCACGGCAACTCTACCATCAGATCCAAGTAGTTTCTGGTCAGGGCATACTCAGGCATGGACTGAGGCATCTTCTTCAGTCTGAATATAGATTAATGAGTTTAAATGCAAGACAGGTTAGACTGTGGACCAGGACTCAAAAGCAAAATACTGTATTAAACAAAGAAAGAGTGCTTTATATTCAGGACAAAACCACATCAAGCCATTAAAAAACACCATGCTTCCTTCTTATAAAAGCCTATTTAAAATTAAATAAATTACTTCTAAAAGAGAGTCTAAAAGAGTGTCAGTAAGTGTCATTATTTCACCAAAAATATGTGCTTATTACTGAAGTTATTGTTCTTGGCCCCAAACAACTCAGAGACTCTTTATCTGATGACATAGTTTCTCTAGATGGCATTGCTCTGGCCTCTAGCACTACCTTAAGAAACCTCGGAGTAATATTTGATCAAGATTTGTCTTTTAATTCTCATTTAAAACAAACCTCACGGACTGCATTTTTTCATCTGCGTAATATTGGGAAAATTAGGCCTATCCTGACCCGAAAAGATGCAGAAAAATTGGTCCAC